GAAATTTGGAAAGTTGAAAAATTGGAAAATTAGGAAATTGGAAAATTGGAAAGTTAGTAAATTGCGAAACTGTGAAACTACCAAGTTGGAAAATTATGGAGTTCTAAAATTTGAAAACTCTCAAAAACAAAAGCCTCCCAAACTTACTCCCAAAAATATAAAAATGCTTATCACTCCCCAATTTTTCCTAACCCAAAAATCCCTCCTCTCCCACCCCCAAACTACCCAATTCCTCCGAGGTTAACTTGACCCATCTCCACAAACACACCGATCGTTATATTAAAGAACACAAAAGAAAGCTAAGAACGAATGAAAAAAAAATACATCATTTCTCGAGCGTTATTCCAATTCCTGGAGTGCGTCTGTCGGTAATCATCGCGACGGATTTCTTTTGTGGATTTCTTCTCCGTCGAAAAAGAGGATGCTGCAGAGAAGAGGAAGACACCGGTGTCTCTTCCTTTTATATTCCCTCGCTATCGTGTTACAATCAATCGCTTTGTCTCGTCGTCGTTGTAGCCCCTTTAAGCTGATGCTCGAGTAACAATACACTTGGTACAGAATGTTCCGTGAAATCGATGCACGACCGTTCTTCTCGGTACACGGATGGATAAAATAAAAGACGCTTCGAATTCGAACGGTGGATAATATAATATAAGGTGGGCGTTCGATTGAAAGCTCCGAAAAGAGGAGACGAGCTGCCTGCAAAATTGATGCAAGCTTTGCGATAACGCGGAGATATAACGGGAGCTGTTAAAGAGAATTTCGACTTTGGAATATATGAAATCTTTATTGGGGAGTGACATCTTGTTACAAGATGTTATAGGTTCTTGATAATCAAAATTTTTTTAAGGTTTTCTTTTCGTACAGAACACAACAATTATGAAACATGTAACCGTTAGAGCAACCATTACTGCAACTATTTTGTGGGGTTCAGTAGGGTGTAGGGTGTTAAAACGCTTGCTCCACATTCAGGGACTAACGACCTGTTATTTATATAGAAACTGTACTACAAAAATTAATTAATAACATTTAATATGCACATAGGCTTATACAGTGACTCTCAGTCTTCACGAGAGTTATATATTTTGACAAGAGCTTCTTAATCATTTTCATGAATCAAGATGAGGAGACATTTTGTCAGGTTCCTAACCGTCAGACCATTTTCTGGTGTTAACCCCTTGTGTCCTTTATTTGCCAGGTGCGTCAGTCAGACCGGAGTTCAATGATGACTGATGCGGCACTCAACCCCTTAACCTATTTTTACAGTTACATCAGTCAGAACCAACCATGACAATATTAAGATAAATGAACAAACTTGAAATGTTAGTCAAACTTAAAATTCAGCTATCCTTTAATAAAGTAAAATTTGCAAATGTGTTTGAGACCATTGAGATTTGTGATTAAAGTAAAGAAGAGGGCCGTAAACAAACAAGTGGGACTTGTTCCTAACTTGATACCCCTTAACCTATTTTTACAGTTGCATCAGTCAGAGCCAACCATGGCAATATTAAAATAAATGAACAGACTTGAAATGTTAGTCAAATTTAAAATTCAGCTATCCCTTAATAAAGTAAAATTTCCAAATGTGTTTGAGACCATTGAGATTTGTGATTAAAGTAAAGAAGAGGGCCGTAAACAAACAAGTGGGACTTGTTCCTAACTTGATACCCCTTAACCTATTTTTACAGTTGCATCAGTCAGAGCCAACCATGGCAATATTAAAATAAATGAACAGACTTGAAATGTTAGTCAAATTTAAAATTCAGCTATCCCTTAATAAAGTAAAATTTGCAAATGTGTTTGAGACCATTGAGATTTCTAATTAAAGTAAACAAGATGTCCATAAACAAACAAGTGTAAGTCTTGGTAACCATTAAGAATCTTTAGATCGTAGTCCTCGAAAGGGTTAAACGGTGCATCAGTTACCCGTTCACGGATGATTAGAGGTTGTATCGGGAAATTTGAGAATATCGACGCGTTAAAGGAAAAGGGAAAACGTTCGAGCGAGAAATTTCCAGCTGCCAAGACAATGGCCGGCTGAACAATGCTCGAACCGTAGAAGCTGGCGGTGATTGCATAATCATAGCCTAGTAAACGCGTACAATGAGACCGAATCGTTACGTGGATATAGTCTGGCATGTCGGCTCGTCCCTCTGCTGTTCGCCACGCCGGATAGTGTCTGCGGACGAAAAATCCGACATGCTACTCGTGGACGTTCTAATGCCAGTGCCCGTGGTCGCCGAGCTGAGAGGTTTTCATCGTAGGCTATCCACGCTCGTGGGAATCAGGGCTTTTTATCGGGCATATAGTTCGCTCTCTCTTTCTCTTCGTGCCACTCTCTCTCTCTCTCGTACGCTCACTCTCTCTTTTTCTCACCTCACGTCCCCTCTTCCACAATCTCTTTTCATCTTTACTCTCTTCCCTCTTTCTCCTGGCCTGGCTTTGTACACGATACAGACTTTCTGCGGTATTGCTTGGATATACAGGGTGTCCTGTCTAACGATCCTTATCAAGTTTGATGCGTCTTTCGCGATTATAGGATATTGAATATTGGAGTGGACGCTCTTTTTTACGTGAGCTTTATGACTTTGTAAGTGATCTTTTGCGGTGTTTAACTCTTTTAATTAGTAACATTGGTAGGATTAATTCGGTTTGATGCATTCTTCTACTCTTGTGATCTTGCACTCTGTTAATTAATGAATGTTCATACGACTAATTCAACTTATTACAATTGAAATTTTTGTCCAATTATGATTGAAAAGTTAATATATGTTTTTTGGTCAAGAAATTTGTTTGAGGAAGCTAGAGGTGATATTTCAGGTTACTTTGAGATAAATTTCAAAATTTAGAAAAAAATAGTAGAGTGGACAATTGTAATGAGGAGTAATTATATTAATTTATGTGGAATCACAGTAAGCGGTGCATTTATTTGAATCGGTTAAGGGTAGTTTATCTAAAGCAGACTAGTTGGATAATTGAATCGTTCAGGTGTGTAATAGATACTGACTCTGGCTTTTACTACTGTTGTACCTTTGAATGTGAAAGTTGGTCGATCGTGGCTTGATTAAAATGGACGTTTCAATTTTTAGATGAGTGATCATACTATTAAGTTATAGTGAAATTTATGAGGTAGAGGTAAAATAATTGTGAAGAGTGTTAATTTGAATATTTGGAAATTTAGAAATATGGATATTTGGAAGTTTGAAAATGTGGAAATTTGCAAATGTAAAAACTTGAAACTTTAGAAATATGAAAATGCAAATATTTGAAAATATAGAAATTCCAAATATGAAAATCCTAAATTTAAAAATGTAGAAATTTGAGATTTCAAAATATAAAAATTTAGAACCTAAAAAATATAATAACTTGGAAATTTCGATAAACCTAAATTTCCCTTAATTTTAACACAAATGACAAAACATTAGATTCCTCATTTCCACTAACATTCCAAACTAACAATATTCCATAACTTCCTGTCAACAAACCTTCCCCATACCAGTCATAAAAAACTAAATCTCTTTACATCAGGTACGTACATTCATTAAAAAAAAAGAACGATACGGTAAGGGATTAAATAGATATATGACTTCCCCCGTTTGATTAAAGCTACATAAATCTTTGTTTAAACTACGCGAGATAGGAATGCACGTAGGTTCCTTTGTCGGTTTGTTCGAACGCGCTCACCTAGTTCTTTTTTATTTCTCTACATACGTGTTTTTATGTGCATTCCTCTCTTTTTTCGAGAGGAATTTTTTGCTAGGATAGTGAATCGTGGAGAACGGATATTCGAGGTGGGAATATTTTTCGAAGCTATGTATTGTTTCACGTTTGATAGGGGTGGATAGCATGATAGCCCTCCATTTTTCATTGCTCTCCATTCGGTGATAGTTTTAGTTTCAAATGATAACTGCTGTGATAGCTTGATTGCTTTCTTTACTGTCTATGTTGCATCTGTTTTAGTATTTTAACAGAAAAAGTTATTTATTGAAATATATGTTCATTGCTGTTCATGTTCATTATTAGGTTACAGTCATTACTAGGTTAAGTTAGAGATTAGGTTAAGTTTTTATTCTTATTTATTTGTAAGTTCATTTTTAATCCTCTCTTTATTCAATAAATTGGAGAAATCGTGTTGCAAATGAAATTGTTACTTTCACTGTAAATTGTCTGATCAAATATTATTTATTTATAAATAATATATGTATATTGGCTTAAGACATTTGATGTGTAAATAGTAATAGATGTTACATTTATAGATTTGGTCTGTAAATAACAATAGTTATTACATTTATGGATTTGGTCTATAAATAACAATAGCTATTGCATTTATATATTTGATCTATAAATAACAATATATGTTATATTTATAGACTTGATCTATAAATAACAATACATCTCACATTTATAAATTTGATCTATAAATAACAGTAGCTGCTACATATATAAATTTGATGTATAAATAACAATAGATATTACATTTAAAGACTTGATCTATAAATCACAATAGATATTACATTTAAAGACTTGATCTATAAATAACAATACATCTCACATTTATAAATTTGATCTATAAATAACAATAGCAGTTACATATATAAATTTGATCTATAAATAACAATAACAGTTACATTTAAAGACTTGATCTATAAATCACAATAGATATTACATTTAAAGACTTGATCTATAAATAACAATACATGTCACATTTATAGACTTGATCTATAAATAACAATACATGTCACATTTATAAATTTGATCTATAAATAACAATAGATATTACATTTAAAGACTTGATCTATAAATCACAATAGATATTACATTTAAAGACTTGATCTATAAATCACAATAGATATTACATTTAAAGGCAGTTACATATATAAATTTGATCTATAAATAACAATAACAGTTACATTTAAAGACTTGATCTATAAACAACAATAGCAGTTACATTTAAATACTTGATCCATAAATAACAATAGCAGTTACATAAATTTTCTTCTATAAATAATGGACGTCAGATTTATAGGTTAGGTCCATGGATATATGAATAATGTCCTGGCAGTAAATTATCGAAATTTTAGCAGAGGAAATCGTAGGACACCCCATATACAAAGTCGGTTCGTAAGCTTCCTCCTTTTTCCCTCGTGAACGCCACTTTAGACCCACTGTTCCAGACCCGTTCCTTTTTCCCGTAGCAGCCGTCAACGGTATTAGTTTCAGTTCGAAACTGTCTAACTCCACGGCGGGAAAAAATTTGAACAAACGTGACTCGTTCTCGACTCGACCACTACCATCAAATTAGAGCTACAAAACTTCGATTCGAGATCTTTGTTATACGGCCATTTTGTAGTCGGAGTATCATTAAAATGTCTGGAGCAAATAAATTGTAGTACCATCCATATAATTAAATAATAAATTTCTGTTAAATTTAATATTCAAAATATTAATAAAATGTTTGCGTAGGAAATATTTCGTTTTATTTCCACTCCGCGTCGGAAAAAGTTCAAAATCGATGACTCAACGACTGTGACCTTCCATCATCATAACCTCTCCACAGTGAAACACGTTTTTATTAGAAACTGCCAAAATCCGATGAATTATTCAGCCAGTTGAACTTACTCGACATTCAAATTATAATCCTACTAGTATTCAACCATGCACCGAATATTTAACCCCACTTGATGCGCTAAAAGTCTGTTTGTCGTCGACAGAAAAAAAAGAAGGAGCGCGTGTTCACGTGAAATTGAACGTAGAGTGCCACTTCGAATGCACGAAACGGCAATTTTTTTCTCCGATTTTTTTTTCTTTTCTCCTTTTTTTTTGTCAAGACACAAGAAAACTGTTTTTCCGCTCTGCGGTTGCCTTTTGTCAACGACTTCCTCTCCTCATTCTCCACGTCCCATTGGCGTACATTTGAAGTTTTCGTGCCAACAACCAGGCACACACACCAGCTCGATAATAATGGGCAAACTTTTCCGCGAGGTTCAAAGAAATTTGTCATTTACGGAGGGCAACGGTGGTCGAAGAATAACGTGAAAGGCAGGCCAAGCAACGTCTGTCGTTTAAAGAGGCTTCTCCAATTGAAAGGTTTCTTTACACCGGCTCAGGATTTGCTCTGCTATTGACTTTTAAAGAAGGCAGATGGAAGCGATTCTTTTAATTGCGACTCGGTAACGAGGCTTCGCTCGGAGATTCGTCTACGTTCGATTCACCGTTATTTCGCCAACTATGTTCCTCGGTTATCTACAATGATCGGATGGCTACGACTTCCTGGCAAATATGGCGGTAGACGCAAATGGACACTTAGCGATCTTTCTTGCATAATAGGTTGTGGAAATTTAGGGATTTAGGGATTTGGAATGTTTGATATTTGAGGAGGTGGAGATTTATTAGAATTTGGGGATTTGGAACTTTGGAAATTGGAGGATTTGGGAATTTGTATTTCTGGAGATTTTGGGACTTAGGGAATGTAGGGATTTGGGAATTTGGAGTTTTGGAAGTTGGAGAATTTGATAATTTAGGGATTTCAGGAATTTGGGAATTTGGTAACTGAGAAATTTAGGAAATGGGAAATTTGTGAACTGGGAAATTTGGGAATTGGGGAATTCGGGAAATGAAGAATTAGGGAATTGGGGATCTTGAGAATTTGGGCATTTGGGAATTGGGAAATTATGGAATCGGGGCATTTGGGAATTGGGGAATTTAGGAATTGGGAAATTATGGAATCGGGGCATTTGGGAATTGGGGAATTTAGGAATTGGGAAATTATGGAATCGGGGCATTTGGGAATTGGGGAATTTAGGAATTGGGAAATTATGGAATCGGGGCATTTGGGAATTGGGGAATTTAGGAATTGGGAAATTATGGAATCGGGGCATTTGGGAATTGGGGAATTTAGGAATTGGGAAATTATGGAATCGGGGCATTTGGGAATTGGGGAATTTAGGAATTGGGAAATTATGGAATCGGGGCATCGGGGAATGTGGGAATTGGGAAATGTGGTAATGGGGAAATTATGGAATCGGAGAATGTGGGAATTGGGGAATTATGGAATTGGGGAATTATGGAATCGGAGAATGTGAGAATTGGGGAATGTGAGAATTGGGGAATGTGAGAATTAGAGAATGTGGGAATTAGGGAATGTGGGAATTAGACAATGCGGGAATTAGGGAATGTGGGAATTAGGGAATATGGGAATTAGGGAATATAGGAATTAGGGAATATGGGAATTGGAAAATGTGAAAATGTTGAAAATCATAAAACTCCTCAATATATCTGCTTTGAAAAACCTCATACATCAAATATTCCCAATATTTCCCCTATTTATTCTCTACCACCCTTTCCCCAATTCCCCGTAAAATGTAACTAAAAGTAAACCTTATCGACCACCAATATTCCCAGAACATAAACTCTAACAGTCCAATCCAATATTTGTTCTCATGTTCCTCCACAATACCATTTGACGAGGTTTAAATAGAAACATAGAAAATTGTAAGTCAAACTTTCCCGACTTTTTCGCGTGAGTCGTTCCGTTTGGTCGTTTCATTAGCATCCGAAACGTCTCGAAAGAGAAAGATCGTCGAAAAAGATGAAAGGATGCCTGTAACTCCGAATAAAGAAGAGAATTATTGTGATCGTGGTTTGTCATGCCGGTCATGGTAACCTCGGTTTTCTCGAGGCCTACGCTCGTGCCACAACAAACACGAAATCAGTCGGTACGATCATCTCTTCCTCCAAATTCAACGTTCCGTGTAAACGTTCTCTATCTGGCCATCTTTTACTTTCGTTCCTTTTTATTTCCCTCTCGTTTCCCTTTGTTTAAGCGGGGCTCGACGATATTTGTACGACGGTTGCATTTTAATTAAGAACTGATGCCATCTACGCCGAGTTTCGGTGAACCGTGGGGCCTCTAGGCCGAGTGGCTACAAGCGAAATAAACTTTATAAGTTAACGCCGAAGGGCGGAGAACTTCCCTTGCATTTCGTGAACTTCGTCCAAGTCGTACGCAGATATTTCAAATGTTTTTTAACTGGAAAATCTCCCGTTTACTGTCCAAACTTTTATTCTTCTGGTCCTCTCTTGCTAACCGCCATCTTTCTTTTCTCTTACTATGTTTATGGACGCTCTTTTACTTTAATCGTATTGTTAGTGGATTAATATTGATACAAGTTATTTTAATATATTTCATTCTAGAAATGTAGTGACGTATATTGTGTATGCTTCACAATATTTATCTTAAAAATAATCATCGCAGTTTTTCAAGTTTAATATAAAATCTCATGTACATTACAATGTACACAAGCTGTATCGATAATATAGATTTCTGTTGATATTTGTCTCATTTTAAAAGCTAACCTAACTTTTTTAATCTAACCCAATCTTTCTACACTTCTGTCCTTTATCTTAACCTCTACACTGAAGACAAATATATTTAACTAAAAAGATTACATATAAAGTTAGGTTAAATTAAAATTAAATTTTATAATGTACATAACAAAACATCCAATTAAATTCAGGTTAAAAATGTTCAGAGAGGTTAAACAAATTAGATAAGTTTGAACAGTGGATTAGATCATTACCTTAATTTACGTCCAACCTAACCAATCGATTCGAAAAATACGCTGCAATGCAGATACCGAGAAAGAAAAAGGAGAAAGAAAACAAGGGAAGTTGCATTCGTCCCAGAACGATACAGCAATTAGTCCCAGCAGATTGGTAGAAGGGTCACGGTGGTTTTCTATGGTGGTCTACGATGGTAAAAACGAACGACCTAATTGAGCAACAGGGACACGGTTCGCCGGTGAAATGGAAACACTTATCGTCCGCAAGGTGGAAGAGTCGAAAAGAAGAAAATCAAAGGGGAAGAAAAAAAATGGCCGCGACGTCATTTCCCGGTGAAGGACCGTTATGAAAGATGGAACGAGAGACAAAGGAAGGGGATGATGACATCAACGGTGGTGGTAAGAACACTAAGGCAACGGAGCGTCCAAACCGCAGGCTCGTGCGATTTGATAGCCGTAACCTCCCGGAAATACGTTAAAACAGGATGTTGTCTCTTCCTTTCAGACCTCTGTGTTCTCAACTTTTTAGTCGGCGATCTTCTTACTGCACGAGTGGTTTTAGTTTTGAGGATGTGGATGTGTAGAGGGAGAATTGGGGGTTTATTGATTTTGGCTCTTTTGGGAGTTGGATATTTTGGGGTTGGGTAGTTGGAAATATGGAAATTTAGGGATTTGGGGATTTGGGGGTTTAGAAATTTCGGGAGTTTGAGGATTTGGGATTCGGTAGATAGGGGATTGTGAAATTAGAAACTTGAGAATTTGGGAATTTGGAGAGTTGAGAATTTGGGGTTTTGAGAATTTAGAGGTTTGAGGATTTAGGGGTCTGAGGATTTGGGATTTTGAGGATTTGCGGATTTGAGGATTTGGGGTTTTGAAGATTTGGGGTTTTGAGGATTTAGGGGTCTGAGGATTTGGGGTTTTGAGGATTTGGGATTTTGAGGATTTGCGGATTTGAGAATTTGGGGTTTTGAGAATCTGAGAGTCTGTGGATTTGGGGATTTGAGGATTTGGGGTTTTGAGGATTTGAGAGTCTGAGGATTTGGGGATTTGAGGATTTGGACATTTGGGTACTTGGGGATTTGGGATTTCCGAGATTTGAGGATTTGGAGGTTTAAGGATTTAGGGTTTTGAGTATTTGGACATTTGAGAACTTGGAGATTTGGAAATTTAGGGATTTGGACATTTGAGGATTTAGAGATTTGGGCATTTAAGCATTTGACCATTTGGGAATTTGAGAATTTGGAGGTTTGGGCATTTGGACATTTGGGAATATATGAATTTGCAGTTTTGGGCATTTGGACATTTGGGAATTTACAAATTTATACACTCAGAAATTTGAGAATATAGGAATTCATAAACTTGCCAATTTCAGAACTTCATAATTTTTAATGCTAAAACTACCAAACCAGTCAAATGACCGCTCCACAAGTTTTTTATTATAAGGTACATATTTTGTTACATTCCTTAAAATCAGCATTGATTTTCATCAAGATAAAGAATAAATGTATGTATTAATTTATATTTCGTCGTTTGTTTATTTATTTTTTAACTTCATTTTTAATTTCAAATTAAGTACACATATGTCGGTAGCTTTAGTATTAACCTCAAAAATATTTGAACATGAAAAAGAGTACATCTTACATCTACTAAATCCTAACCTCGAAACCTGTCACCGAAATAAATAAAATTCCTAAAGAACTTCATTCAGTAGAACCCCCATGTAGAGTTCACCCGTTTCTTTTAAGCATGTTCCTTCTACGCGTACGGTTTCTTACGTATCGGTGGATCATTGTTATCGACAGCAACGGA